ATAAATAAATAAATATTATATTTAAATATATAAATTATATGTAAATTTGTATAAATAAATATTTTTAAAAATATAAATTATAATTTTGATGTATAATAAATAAGTTATATTGTGATATAAAAAAATAATTATTAATGAGTTATTTTCTAATTATTAAATTTTAATTTATAGATAAATATGATAAATAAAGTTTAAAATAGATAAGTCAAAAAATCTCTAAAATAATTTTATCAAATTTATTTAAAATATTAAAATTTAATTTATAGATAAAAAGTTAAATTATATAACAAATTTTTTAAAAAGAATTAAAATCACTCTTGTTAAATAAATAACAAGTTTTAATGCCTAGTGTCATTGAGGCTGAAAGCCTCTAGCACGCCAACGCTTTACGAAAATTTGCCTATGTCCAGCGTGGATGAAGTAAAGAGCCCTTATGTCAATCATGTCTAATGTAGCTAGACTTATGCTCGACCTCGTTTAAGTAGAGAGTCTTTGCCTGACCACATTGAGTGTCATTCATCCTACACCCAATGTCTTTTAAGCAAAGAGTTATTACCTTGATCACATCTGACGCCACTCAACCAAAGCCTAACATTATCAAGTCATAAAGCTCTTAAGGCAATCATGCTTGGCGTCTCTCAACCCACGCTTGATGTGACCAAGTCAAAGAGCACCCATCTATCTCACGCCCAATGTTACCAATCTTGCACTCAACCCCAACAAAGCAAAAAGTCTCTAACTTGCATTATGCTTTGCGTCATGAAGTTGCACCTAGCACAATAGCGATTCCTACACTCAACATAATCACGATTTGACTCAATTCACTAGAAAATCAATACAAAACCAACATGTTATGCATAGCAGCACAAATATACATTTCAAGCAACTCAAAAGCATCATAATCAACATGCAACCATCAAAGGCAAAATTCACTAATTCCTTTTCATTTCACCAAAAAACAAAGAAACTACACATCAAGTATTCACTACTCAATTTAACTCACAACTATATTTTGATGAATCTTGGCAGCATACAATTCACAATGTACCACAAGGAGCAATCTTATAAGTTTCTTATATCTCCAATCGCCTATAATAAAGGAAGAAGAAGGGTGAGATCCTTCAAAAAAACTATGCACGAGAACTCTAAGGTCTTTAATTTTCAGCTCCAAAAGTTTCGAATCTCTACACGACTACTCAATCTCACTCCTGGGAAGGTTCTAGAAATCTCTCGCGGACTCAAAAGACGGAAATCCCTCTAGCTTTATAGCTCCTCTCTTTATTTTTATTTTTTTTTAAGAATTGGACTCATGAAGTTAAAGTCTTAAAGAAAGTTTTATATATCAACTTTGATCTTAACTCAAAATAATTCTTAAACGACTAAACTTATAATAATTCCTAATTCTATAGAGTTTTACAACTATTAAACAACTAAACACACAATAAAATCAACATTTAATAGCAAAATTCACAGTATTACAATAATTATCTTTTTTAGTTTTCACTTTTAATTAGTCAATTTTACTCATAAATTAATCATTTTTAAAATTAATCGCTCTATAATAAATAAATAAAAACAAAACAAAAACACTAACTTACTAATCTGTATAGTTACCTATTTTAAAATCTTATTTTTTTACAACTATTTTAACACATGAAAATAATAAATATAAAAAGATAAAAAAAAGTGTTTATTTTCCGACTGTTTAGGATAAAGTAAAAGTTTCACACTTTTATTTTGGATTCTTATGGGACCACACCTATCTGCATAGTATGAAACTTTTACTTTATCTTAAATCGCCAAAATAGGATACGTAATAGCAGTTATGAATTTCATGAGTGTTTGACTCGACCAAGTGAAAAATTTATGTTTAATATATAAGAGTTATTATTTATTTTAAATTTTAAATATATTTTATATATTTAAAAATATTTATTTATATATATATATAATTTATTGTAAATTTTAATTACACATAAATATTAAAAGATCTGCATTCTAAAATACTGGTTTAAGTTTGAAAATTATATACAATTAAAATTTTTAGATTAATAATTATGAAAAAGTACATTATTGTTAATAAATAATATAATAATATAAAAGTTTTTTGCATTTTAAAAGTTTTAAATTTACGTTTAAAAATTATTGTAGTTGCATAATTACCGTATATTTTTACCAAAATTTACTTATTATTTTATAGTTTTTAATGTAATTAAAATTATTAAAAAATATTTACTTTGCATTATTGTATGTGACATATGATTTGAGGATGTGTATTTTTTTTTTCCAGAGCAAATACAACGGTAAAAGTACAATTTTGAAAGTTCACTAATTCAAGGATTAATTCACGATAGATTTCGTCTTAAACCTTATCTTTATTATTTCTAAAAATGTGAAGACAATTATAAAATATTAGTGGAGTTGTGATTAACTGTGTCCTATATTTTATTTAAATTTTTTAAATAAAATAAAATTTGAGATTAAATAATAAAGATGGTTAAAATTTTGAATGCTTAAAAATTATTAACTTATTTGAGTGGTTAATTTTTAATATTATTTTTATTATTTAAAAATATAAAAATAAAATTATCTTAAAAAATCTGAAAAAAAGAGCTATAATTTATGTATTTTTTTATTATATATAATTATAAATTTTATCTACCTATCTCTTTAAGTTTTTAGATATTTTTAAACAGAACTTATTCCCAGTCCTTTTTTAAGCACTCTTAATATTTTCATACCAATGAAGACTTGTAGATTAGAGACCACTAGTAAGTGATGATAATAGATAATAAAAAAGAAAAATATTCGCACACAAATGAATGTAGAAATGACACCGTAAACAAAAGCGTAAAATGATTTTTATTAATTATTAAATACATTGTTATATCCATTTTAATTTTTATGCATTGCGAATATAAAAAAATTAGACCATTAACTAATTAAATTTTTTTCTAGAAAAATTAAATTTTGTTATCAATATAATTTTTAGATATTTTATTATAAAAATTAATAAATTTAATATAAATAATATTTTTAATTTCATGTAAGTATAAAAAGTTTCTATATATAAGTATATAAATACTATTTCCTCTTTTATCTTATCATCAAATATATTCAACAATATATTTTCTTATTGTAAATAATAATAATAATAATAATAATAATAATAACATGTTCTATATTATTCTATTTTTTTCATTATTAGATCCATCTTAATGATATATTCAACTGTATATTTCAAATTTTATAAAATTATCAAAAATAAACAAAAAATAATTTTAAGAATATTATTCTTAAAAATCGCACACTATGATTGAATCATAATAAACATAGAATAATTTTAAGAATATCATCCATGAGAATTTTGCACCACAAATGAAAAGTTATTTCCTAAAAAACTGAAGTTTAAGTTATAAATTTAACAATAATAATTTAAGTTATAAATTTTATTATTATTTTTTAATAATTGCCTTAAAAATTATTAGAAAAAAAATCAACCACTCTAAATTTTATTTTATTTTTTAAATAGGCACTATAAACTTAAATTTATCTTAATCAATTATTAACTTTTATCTGTTTGTAAAAAATCATCATAAACTTTAATTTTATTCCAATTCTTAATTTTTTTTACAAATAAACACTCTTAATTTTAATTTTATTCTGATTGATATTGACATTTGATAATTTATTATTTTTATTAATAATTTTTTATTACTAATTTAAAGTTAAATTAAATGAAATCATTTACTACTTTTTTTACCATTATCTTAAAATATCAGATTTGAGGACAAATCCTTCTCAAGAAGGAGGGGATGATAGACCATGGGCCAAGGGGTCAGTCACTAGAGCTATGGCTAGAAGAATCCAAGAAGAGTTGGACCTTGTGAAGACTAGTGGACTTGTCAAGCCCAAGGTATTCTTCACTTGGAATGCTCTATCATGAAGAGAAGGCCTAGTTCTACTTGTACATATTGTATAGTTTTTACATAG